TTTTTGATAAATTTTAATAAAAATTGATGAAATGTACAACGAAGAAGTTATAGATCCAATGAAATGTGACTGAAAATAAGGCCGCGGTTGGTTTGCCGTTTTCGGCCCATTTTCGATTTTCCGTTTCGAAAACGCGAAAAACGTTTTTGGTCCGTCGTTTTTGAAAACGAGTTAAAATTTATAACCGAAAACGCAAAACAACTTTTTATTATTTTCAACGTTTTCAGTTATAAATGTCGAAAACGTTCAAAAGGGGCCGTTTTCAGGGAAAACTAAAAATCGTTTTGAAAATGAAAATGGAAAATGAAAACCAACCGTACCCTAAATTTTTGGAAAAATGAGAGCCAAACAATGACTAGATTTGCAAAATTGAACCTAAAGAAAACAGCCCGAGTATAATGGTAACAGAGGAAAAGAGCAATATAAAACACAGTTTGTCGATTTGGGAGACAGTTAATACACGAATCTCTCTAGAAAGGCAATCCAACAGCATCAAGAGATACACAAAATCACCATCAATGTCACACACCAGAATAATCAACTATTCAAAGTTCATAGCCTATCCTAAATGGTTCAGAAAATACAGTTTTGTACTAATAAAAAGAAATAATTGACTTAGATTCAAGTAAAACTACGAAAAAGTTCGAGCACACAATCGTCACAAAACATATAAATAGAGCTATAATTCAGTATTCCCATTGCTTCAACTCCATGCCATCGGGAGGGCTTCCTTCCACCTTCTTTGAACCCACTTCTTTCCAGTTTGTGGATAGCACTGTCCCATTTGACTCGACCTGTTGATTAGTTTGCCACAGAAAAATGTCATTATCGAAGCCTAGAAATAGAATATGCAGAATAAATGTTAATGACTGCCAATTTTAACAAATTAAGAATTTACAATCACGAATTTATTTCTTTCGAACGATGGTACAGGGGAGATTTGAACAAGGTTCTTCGACAGGCAGGGGATATTAAAAAAATACTTGTAAGAATAAGATTTGTTCTTACAAAAGATTTGCTCATCGCTCTTCTCGCGTCCTCATCTGCGTCTGTGTATATGTCTCTGAAAAATTTGTTCAAAGCTGCATCACCATCTAGTTTCTCTTCTTTTTCCTGATATGCAAATAAAAGTGAATCTTGCCTATTATGAAACAGCTATTTTTATATTCCGAGCACGAGATCATTTGAGAAGAACGAACACAGGCAACATTAGGGTTATTAAATCATATACCTCATTTTTCACTTGAGCTTCTAGTTTATCCCAATCTACTCTCTTCGGTTTGGAGGAAGGATACGTCGGTCTTTGGTTGCCTATTTAGAAAAATTAAAAAAAGGTAAACTTTCTTGAAGAGAAATAATACTCCATGCAAGGAAAATAAGTCTATTGAGTAAAGCACGCTGATATTAATCAACTTATGCGAAGCTTCAAGTTAGTTACCAAACTTTATATAGTTTCGTAGTCATTGAAGTTCACTTTCTATATCCGTGAAGTCACTCAGG